CCCATTCGTGCTGCATGTCTCTCCACCACATCTTCCTTCCTTCCAGACAGGATTCCTTTCAGCCTACACCTAGACCGAAGAATCCCACAGTGCCTGCACCATGCATTTATAATCCGGAATGCAGGCCTTAAATTTATGCTATATATGTACACTGCACTGTTACTGAGCAGTACACATTTTTCAGTTTTTCTGATGTATTCTTTAATTTTCTCTTTTCCCAACTCTTCTTCTATTTTCCTTATATCTTCTTCTTTCGTTTGTTTCTTTCCCTCTCATTCTTGGCACTCAAGTATTGCACATAAATTATGTCGATGGCTAAACGTAACTTTTACCTTTTGTGGAAGGAATCTTCTTTCTCAGATAAACTTTAGGAAGCATGACACTGAAACAATTGTTTGAAACTAAAACAGTAACTAACTACAAAACAGAAGACAGCCATCTTCGTATTCAAAGACCGTGATTACTTCAAACACTACTTAATAACTAAAAATTTTGTATCTAATTCTTGTTTTTTCATACACACGTTAAACAGTTTATATTTATTAGTGGTAATTTTACTTTTTTAAAATAGCCTTTGCGATACATTTTTCTTCGATTCAGGTTAAGTTTTAAACATGTTTTACTGTCTATTAAGTAACACACACACTAATTACATACTTTTCTTTACTACAAAATTTTATCTAGATTATTAGTAATCGTACAAATTATTTCATGGGTTGTTATTCATTCTGTTTCTATTAATAAATTATCAACATATATAAGAATATAAAACTGTTCTATATACACGGTCATGTTTAGATTGTATGCACATAAACAGATAAATATAACACGGAAATCTTTAACATGCATTTTGGGTGCAGCTGAGAAACGTAAGTAATGAATGACGTCTCCAGTTTTCTTATTTTGTTGCATCAAACAGTTGCTGATAAATGTAGGTAAATACCGACGTTTCGGAGAAATATATTGACTCAGTCTTAAGGGGCGATGTCCTGACGATGAAGACAGTATGTTTACCCGAAACATTTATATCTTTCTACTCGTCCATATGACGTCACAACGCAGAAGAACATCGTCATCACATTTTCACTTTCAATTAATTTTAATCGGCATTTCCATTACTGCGCTAATGAACATAAAAATCGAATACGATCAGTGGTAAGTAAGTCTCCATGAAGGGCAGACTGCGAGAGAAATTTACACCAACAAAGGCTCCACGTCCCTACACACCTTTTATTATAATAAAAATATGATGCCGCTAACCTGAAACGGGGTCATATTACACTTTGAAGAATTAAAATTTCCTCCCCGATATTGGAGCACCTGCTCATATAATGCAAGCTCTTTATCAGGATCCCATGGCAAACCATTAAGATTTCTATAACGTCTGTAGCTGTTTTAACCGAATAATGGAACCTTAATAATAGCTGACACATTCTTAGGCTATTTCGATCAACGACTTCTCATATATCAAGAACATGACTCATTAAGGCTCCACTAACTTTAATATATAAACAGGTCTTCCCTATTTTATCATTTGAGAACGCCTTTGGCAGTGTCCAAAGATAATCCGCTTCGTATTTACTTCAGAGAAGTTGGAGATCCCAAGACAAGAACAACATATTGTTAGCCGGCCTTTAATGTGGTTCAATATTACCAGTCTAGTGGTGTACGACGTGTGTGGGGATAATACAGAAGTGTCTTTCACACCACTGTCTGGGAGTCAGTGTGAAATTTTGGTCAAAAGCAGCGTCAGTATATAAAATGTGAAGCATAGTCACTGTTTAATGAAGCATACAGATAGTAAGAAAGCATTTCAGAAGAAGAGTTTCTAAAATCAAGACTGAAGGTAAGTTCAAAGTCACTACAATAGTGTAATCGTGGAAAAGTAAGCAGCCTTCCTTTCAATTAGACCTATGTTGTATTACCAAATACGGTTTCTTGGATGACCTTCTAAAGTAACTGAAAACCTCGTACCACAGATTTTGACGTAACGTAAAAGTGAGTAAAAACTAAAAAGAAAATGTAGTGTTCCTACTTTCTTTTTTGTATTAGTCCTGTCTGCATAAAATAATTGCATATCTACTGAAACAGTACATTTTCAATTCAAGAATTGATTTTGTTATTCGTCATCAGGACATGTATATTATTATGTGTGTTCTATTTAATTTACAGTAGGTCAATGTAGTGTCGCTAGGTCGCTAGTATAAGGGATGAGGCATTATTTATTATGGGCATCTAGTAATGATATAATATTAATTAGTTTATTTAACGATTTATGAAGTGTTTAAACATCCTTGAATACTGACGATGATGAAAGTCTTCATGTCTCAAACGGTTACAAAAGGGAAATATGCCAAAGCGGGTATTCTCGTAAACGTACGTTTTTAATTCTGGTTGAAATTAATCTGAAAACTCTTCGTAAAATCCCACTGTTTCCCGAAATGTCTCACGTTTAAGTCTTCAGCGTAGGCGTCAGATGGTTTATAATCGTGTAATGTTCTTTCATCATCCCGTATAGGCCATCTTTCATTAGGCAAAACCTTGTCTTGATGTGGATATGCCCAATTACGTACGAAGGATTATGGAATCAAAGGGATCAACATCATGAAAAAGTATTTTATTTAAACGTCTACAGATAAGATGTAACCCTTATTTGCAGGTGTTGTCAATATGCCACTGCTGTCTGTGGTAAGAATATTTCTGCTCACGATGACCGTATCAGCCTCGCCGCTAGGACGACTGCAGCTTTGCGGCAGCGAACTCGCGAATAAACTGGCAGAAATCTGCTCAATTCAAGGTTACAACGACCCCTTCAGACACAGTATGTACTATGGTGAGTGTTGCACAAATGGCGCCTTAACACTTATACCGTATTTGTATCTAGTAGACGCACAACTTCAACAGTTTTAATAAATTAAATGCTAGATTTCCTGAATGAAGTATAAATTCTCTTCATTTACTCTAGGAAAACTCTGGAGAAACCTTAAATTGGAATAGGCTTCTGGCTGTATTCTTCCACTTCCTTCGTGACCTATAAACTGTTCGGCTGACAGACGAGTTAAGGAAATGCTATTTTAGTGCAGACCCCAATACAAAATTTAATCTAAATCTGTTAAATAGCCTCGGAAATTAAATATGCCGATAAACGTACACAACCTAATGACTATAAGTTTTTTTCCTTTTGTGCAAGTAACACTCAGTTGACTTAGAAATAAAGCAACTGTTATAATTTTATTTTGCACAGAACATTATACCAGTCCAGAACCCCTGTAACTGTTTGACTTGAAATTTGAACTGGCCAGATCATGGGTGAAGGGCCCGCCCCGCTAGCAAGCCATATGTGGAGGTTCCCTCGCCAGCAAGGGATCTGGTACGCAGGTCAAAACACATGGCATTACTCGAGTTGACATAGTCGACAGCGGGCTTTCAGCCAGTAAACCAAACTTTTGTACCAGTTAGGGAAATAGTGTATAAGATTTTCTTTAATTTCAAAAGTAAAGTTATTCGGTATTCCTAAATTTGTTGTTCCTGTATTTATTGATATACATAAAAATTACCACGTCAACCCTGAGGTGATCCTTGTTCCCCACTGACTCTAGTTCGGGATATAACTATATCTTTCTGCAAGAACAGAGAAGGTAAAAGTAGTGAGGAAGGATAGTTATAACATAGTAGGTTACAGAAACTCTTATACCACCGTCATCACAAATGTCGTTCTCATGAACTCCCATTTGTCACAGAAGTGTCGCCCTTCGAGGGCGGAGTCTCCTCGACGACACGGTCGAAGAGAGGAGTAGCTGACGAGTGCTGTAAGACTGGTTGTTCGTGGGACACCCTAGAACAGTACTGCAACCCGCCACTCTCAACTCCCGACAGGTAACTTACCAAAGAAACTCAATTTTCACACATTTATCTCAACGCACTGCCTTGTATAAAAGGAAATCTATGCAATATGCCGATGCACAGTCGCCAAAATTAGACTACAAATTCACGTAAATAATAGTTTACTTTTCATTTCTATTACTTTCACAGATTTGGGTACTAAAACTGAGAATAGTAAATTTTAATTTCTAATTTATCGTTAAGGTGACGTACATAAATGAAAGCAGTCTACGTACTTAAAAGGTATTAGCAGAGGCATAATAAAAGGTCCGTTTCAAGTGATGCAAAATTTCAGCTCTTTGTAAAATATTATTGATATAATGTTACGTCCTAGAAAACAGCACAAATTTTCATAAAGTGTCTAATAGTTCTTCAACCATCCCGAAAAGTAACAGAAATTTTTACGAATATATAATCTGTTTTCTCCTGTATCCATCATAATATGATTAACATCTCCATGAAGTGTCAATAACTACAGATAAGATACGTTTCACAAAAATGTGTCTAAAATGTTGAAAATATTAATTCATCTCTGATAATCGTCTTTGTTTTCTTCTACTTCATCTTCTCCGTTCCTCTTCTGATCTTCTTAAACTTTTAAACCTCCATTTTGCAGAGTCTTCTGCCTCTTTCAAGCAATTACAGCCGATTACATCAAGCGACTTCGCAGGTAGAATGCTCAGGTCGTGTTAACGCCGTTCTCACATGAGTAGTGATGACACCGTCCGGAGTGCCAGTTCGCAATTATCTCCAACCTCAAAACTACTACGACCTAGACACTGTATATACAACACAGGCCCACATACTTTGTGTAATGACATTCGCTGTGGTATCCGAACCCTGGAATTCACTTCTCCTTTCACTTCCGTATCACAGCTGGAGTTTGCTACATAGAATTTCAGAATACCGAAACACGAGACTGTGTCATTTAGAAGACAAATGTTATTACTTACATTTTTAAGTGCTGGGAAAATGGGTGAAGTCTTTTATACTGGTACAACATGACTAGTTCCTTCATCGAATAATCTTGCAGATTAAACAATGTAACTGCTTCATCTTCCAGACCTCATAATCTACAAGAAACTGAAGACCATTCCATAAATCACATCGCACAAGTTGATTCTGAAGGATCGGCGGGGCAACCAACCACAATAACCAGAGAACAGAAGAACGACCTCGTCAGTAAGGTCAGAAGTCATCACGAAAAAAAGGGTCGGCGGGGAAATAACAGATGTCGTTGTCGGCGGAGACGCCGGCGTGGAAAGGTGGTTATTTTGCTGCATGTTCCACCTAATTATAGATCACTTGCCTGCTTAGCACTGCATGCAAAGATAAATAGTTAATAGTGATGCAGATGGAAGTGTAGTTTATGACAATCATGTTTCATAAAGTAACAATTTGTTGCACATTATTCACCGACCTAAGTTTTATTAATACGATGTTTCGGAGACTTGAATCTGTCACCGCCTTCACGTAAAACTTATTCTGTTAGGCCCAATTAATCCTTTAAAACCGAAGCTCGCCTAACAACCTCACAATGTAGAAATTGTGGATCTACGTGTTTGTCTGCTTATAGCTCGAGAACGAATATACCGATTTGTACCAAACTTTGCGTGTTTTATTTCTTGAGACCAGAACGAGATTATATGAGGGCCAAAATTCTGGAACGTATCCTAAGTTAGATTCTCGCTGAGGACATTTCTCGTAGCTCAAAATTCAAACACGATAGAAGAATGGCATTCAAACGAAATTCGTATGTTTTGGAGAGGAGACTGCAGAAACAAAGACCAGAATCCCCCTCCAAAATATCCTGGGTTCGATTCCCAGTAAAGATTGTTTATGTAGCTCCGATAATAAGCACGGCAGGGGAATGACGCCAAGGCAAAATTTGTTCGTTTCAGAGAGGAGATTACAAGAACTAAAGTCAAAAACCGGAAAATTCTCCTGAGTTCGAGTCTCGGTGAAGATCTGTGGTTTAGGATAATTTTATCTTTAATGTTCAACGATAGGCGACCCTTGGGCAGACAGACATAACATATACGAGCCCACGACTTGAGGCCTGACGATACGCGTTGAGACTCCGACACAGACAAACCGATCTCGAGCATGCGACGACTTATAATTCCAAATCTCGGCAAAGAAACGTCTCGGGGTGGTAAAAGGCACGATGTTGGCAAAGCGACTCAAAGAGTCACGACGACGCCAAAGACATCTGAAACGAAGCTGGAAAACAGAAGCCGAGCGTCCCGACACCAACTCAAAAAACAAAAAAAGAAACAAATAAAGCCAACGGAAGGTTCGGAACTCCATGTGCAACGATAGTGACAAATCGACGCCGAGCGTCGGTACCTAAAGGTGCCATATAGTTAAAATAAGTCTCGGGATGCCACTAGAAGCGGTGTTAAACAACCTACGCCGAGCATTGCTGCGACGCTAGGCGTTGAGACGTTACCTACGTAAAGCAAATGAAGCCAATAGAAGCCTCCGGACTCCTTATGACGGTTGTTAACGGTGCTTCAGGATGTCATAGAAGAAAACGCTGTAAAACTGACGCAGATATAACACGGCATATTTGGGAGATATGAAGGTAGTAGGTATGCCACAGAGAACATGGAAAACGAATACTAAGGGTCGCGCCACCTTTTACTGCGGCGACGCTAGAATACCATATTTAGTGTTGGTGAAACTCGGAATGACATCGAACACGACCCTGAAATTCATACACCAGGTGTCGCTGCTCCAAAGAAAATTGCCGTATTTACCACAGGCATGCCATTCAAGACGCTCAAAACCCGATGCCTAACGTTACTACGTCGCAAACATACGCCACATTTAGCATTAGAGCCTTGGGATGCCTTCTAACGCCAAGTTAACTAACCGACGCCGAGCGTCGCGATTCCTAACGTCACAACGACACAAGCAGACGCAATATTTATCACTGATGACCCTTTGGATGTTTTTAACACCAAGTTGGCAAACCAACGCCGAGCATCGGGACGCCTAACGTCACGACGTTGCAAGCAGTAGTGAGCCTTGCGATGCCTTTTAACACCAAGTTGGAAAACCGACGTCTAGCGTTGCGAGCCTAACGTCACAACGACGCAAACAGACGTAATATTTAGCATTTGCAAGTCATGGGGTGCATTTTAATACCAAGTTGACAAAACGACGCTGAGCGTCGCGATGCCTAACGTCACGCCGCTTCAAAGAGAAGCAATATTTTGCATTGGTAAGCCTCGAGATGCCGTTTAACATAAGATAATATTGATTGTTATGTAACATTACGTCAAAATCGGACAAGGTGTTCGAGAGTTCAAACCAAGGCCATGTCCTCATTAAGTGTTATTTTTTAGCTCACGCTTATGAAACACCTAAATATACACACTGTAATGCTATATAATTACAAAATTTCCCAGACGTACCTCGCAGATTCAGCATATAATAAGCCTATAAATTTTCCTCATACTCCACGCTGGCTTGTTAATAATTTCGTAAATTATTTCGCTGAACTAAAGAATATTACCCACAGATTACGTGAAACAAAATAGCTCTTAATTGCAGTCATACATGCGCGTAAAGTGCACGACATTCTAATGAGCAGACATGAGATAAATCTCCAAGAATTCCTATAGAATTATTGTAAGACTATTTCCCCATGTTTACAGTTATTCTACGGATACACGCCTATTAGATGGATTAGGAACGCATGAGAATACTAAAAAATTATATAATTATATGTGATACACCCAGTAAAAAGAAAAAGTTTCTTCGTTTATTCTAGTCTGTTACTTGTAATTTCATAGCCGAGAATACTTTCCGAATTATTAAGCCGAAATCATTATACTTATTATATCACGAATTTTGCTTTCTTTAATTTATGCTTCAATTCCATTACTGTATACTTTACTATTTATTTGCTTTCATGCTCATTTAGCGATTTGTTTATTTGTTTCTCCACCATTGATATTCATCTTTCTACGTATATACGTTTACTTTCTTTCTTTCTTTTGCATAACTTTTTTTTTTTATCGCATCTTTGGAATTTTTCCTTAAAATAATTCGTAACTTCATGATTTCGACTTTCTTTAGGGAGGTCGGCTGTCCCCTGATTGCATTCCTCTTATGCGAGTGTGGCCAGAGTATCGCCATGTATAAACGAATACATCCTAAATTCTCCTTCTAAATTTCTATTTTAACAGAAACACATCTACAATATCACAAAATCGGCATCAAGAATGATGGACTATATATCAGGCACGTCAAACTCATTGTCTACTGCGGGAAGATTAAAAAGGAGGTGACTGTTACCAAGGTTACAACATGAGTGATAATAATCACAATTGCCCCCTTTTACAATTTCGAAACTTAATATTAAAACACATTTTTGGATCCTCTCTTTTCCCACAAGACCACCATTTCCGCTTTATTCAATTAAAACAAAATAACAGCAGAACACAAGACGGCGTGCATTTGAAACTTGTCATTATCAAAACTGGAATATTTGGGGTAGCACATCGTATAATTCGTTAAATGAGTCAGGCTTCATAATACACTGAAGAAGACTGTCCATTTGTCATATCTAGCGTAATTAATGGGGAGCAGTTTAGGCTACTTGCCTTTTAACTCCTGCGTACAGCGAGGTATGAATTATTAGCCTTGAATGCCACTGGTTAGAATAATGACTGACAGTTTTTGTACAAAATATGCATGCTGTCACTGTGCTTTGCTTGTGGCTACGTGAGGTTGCTTAATTACTTTGTGGCTGTGATGCATGTTTGATCCTCGCCTTGACTGTGGGATTTATAAGTAATAAAAACTGTTATTTGTTTGCCTTAATTATCTTACATATTTAGAATTCAACCCGACCTAAGCTAGGCCAATTTCTATCTGCAAAATTTGGTATTATGGTATCTACTGGCGGGGGCCCAAGATCCTTTGGGATCTACAATAACAAAGACTTCCATGTACAGCTGAAGAACAATTACGTGATGGTCAAGATAGTTCAAGAGTTACGTTTTCTTACCTCACAGAAATCACATATTGTATTTTTATATATTCTCAAAAAAAAAAGAATATTATATTTAAATGCAGCTGTTACTTTGTCAGAAAGTGTACAGCGTAGATTACCAGGCGATTTGAATTGCAGTGTTAAATAATTGCCCTCCCATCAAACACTAAAGTCTGAAGCTTCAAGCTGAACAATATTTGCAATTATATTTTATTCTTATTAAATACTGCGAAATAGGATAAATCATCGGCTTTCTATTCGCCACTTCTCATTGGTCTCTGAAACTCAGCATCGCCTTATGTAACCTAGCAGCTGAGTAGGAACTTTGAGAACGGAAAAACAAAAAGTTATTTTAAGAATCATTCCATTCGTGTAGAATCGTGATACTAACGTTTGCCATAAAGAGCAAAATTATCATCTAAGGCCATTGAGATGTACTTACAGGCATGTGGCATTTCCGAGCATTTTGTGCAAATGCTAATGAATTAGGACATTTATTGTGTAAATTACACCACCCTCAAAGTTGTGTACACCAATTTGATTGGTAAGTACACAAATATTATACGTTATTTGCTGTTTCACACATCTCATTTGTCTTTATTACTGATAATAGTGATGTATTTCTTCGTCGTACTATTAAATGCGTAAATTCACCGAATAAAATCACGCACAAGACATCTATATTAAATACGTTCGGCTCTGTTACTTTAACAAACTTCTTTAATCACCCTTCACTGCATTATCTTATACGAGGTTTAAATATACTCGTATTTATTGACCTTCACATTACCTTTAAATATCTTTTCAATAAAAGTTACTTCAATCGTCAATATTAGTCACTCCGTTTCTTTCAATAACACATTTATCAAGTCGCTGCCATAATATTCATTCCATGTCCAGGGAATCGTGCTATAAGGGCGTTTGAACACATTTGCATAATCGGATATATTAGGCCTATTAACATGAAAAGTGGAATGTATGTCATCCCAGGAGGGCGTAATGCTGATGCTGATCTACATAGAGATATAAGCAGTTATATTTGGGAGCATGACCACTAATAACACATATTTGTTAAACAAAATAAGTGCAATAATTTAGTCTCTTGTAAATCAGCCAGTTTGTTGATACGCCATTCTGACATAATGCCCTCGATATTGTAACTACGTATCTACAACAAAAAAGAGAAAAAAATGTGCCATCGGCAAAGACATTCAGAGAATTCAGACACTGCCTTTTCTTTCATTACAGGGGGACATTGAAGACCCGGAGATTCTAGAGAATAAGATTGCGCCAGTCATAGGCACAATCAATCCAGCCTACTTTGCAAATCCTGTTATCCTTCCGCCAAGAATAAGAAAAGAAGAGATGGCATTACAAGACACGAAGTAACGCGGAGCCATACGATATTTAATGGACTTGGCATCCCGCTCACCTGTAATTTATCATCAGCACTTTAATGATCTAGTCACTACTCACCGTATGTCAGCCTAGTGTGTCGTGATGTCCCGTATTTAAAATCTGTGTTACTGTGACGTTTAGAGACTACAAGCAAAGAAGTAGGACTGAGCAAATACAGAGTATTCCAAAGAGATGTACACAATCATTAATACGTCATATTTGTGTATTTATCTTTTTTGGAACACTTGTAGTGTTAAATATGATATTTATTCCGACTTTATATTAATTTACACTAAAACTTTTAGAATTATTATTCCATCTAGATGTTAGCACAAGGAAAATCCCAATCTTAATATTTCGTACATATTGTATTAGTGTGGTTTGAGGTTACACAAAGTTCTTTATTATTTGGACGTAAATAAACTGTGAATGAAATTTAATTGTAGAAATGTTATTTATCCTGTGGCTGCCATAATCGTTTTTCTGTGTTGTGCTGTCCTGTGTACAGGTAGAGGCCTTGCGACGGGCCGATCCCTCGTCCAAGGAGTCCTACCGAATGTCTATAGATCAGGCCAACAAAAAGTTGGGACCCGCAGTGCTCAGGCACTTGAATAACGGGTCGTTCCCAGTATCCCAGGCTGCCATAATATCAATTAAATAAGACACCAGTTGCATTTCGAAGGATTTCTTGGTCTGTTGACATAGTATATGCATAATATGTATACTTTAATCGTTTACAATATTCAGTTCTGCATTGCACGCGACTGGTAAAGCCTGCGTAAAGTGGGGTCATTCGGACAGTAGTTTCGTTTTTTATGATTCAACAGAATAACATTTTAAAACCGATACAAATTTCAAGTTCCAGTAATTTCGTAAATCGCCACTCCCATGTTAGAGCGTATGCACAAAAACTTCAAAAGATCGCGGGCATTTTTAAAAGTTTTGCGTTTTAACTTGTCCTTGTACTTAAAAACTTAGAGACGCTGGGCAGTGGTCTAGAAGTCATTCGGAAAAACAATAATATTAAAATCTGCAACAATCGCATCACTGTGATAATGTTTTATTATTATGCCGCTGATGTGTTGTGAAAACAGTTTATATTACTCCTATTTGAGTGGTCTGATGGAACACTGCCACACCGACTGGATCAAAACTACGGGTCCATACATTGAGCGTAGCGCTATCGAGAAGCTGCATACTGTACTACTCTGAATTACTGCTCCCAACTGGAGCAGTTGCTATTTAAAGTAAAATACAAAAAATATCTATTAAAACATAGAAAACCTACATTATTTGTAACAAAAATCTGTCGTTGAAACTACTGGCTTACATCATAGGTTTCAGTCCGACTCAAGTCAGACTTAATCGCCCTGATGTTGGAGGCAATAATCACTTCTTAACCGTAAGTCAATTTATAAAGCGTAGTCACCGAATAACCCAAGCGACCAAAAGACTGAGCAGATCGACTAATTATACCGTGAAGTGTCGGTTCGGTTAGTTCCGAGAACGGACTTGGTTCTATGAATCTAACAAGACTTGCACACGACGATCTTGCACTTAAAAACTAGGCTTGACTGACATACATAAAAGAACCTTTGTAGTTGCATTATTTCCAGTGAGAAATGAGCTTCAATTGAAAACTGACACAGTGATTTCGTAGCTCAGATAAGTTCATCTAGAAACAAAGCAGGGCTAATAGAAACCCAGAAAAAATAAGATATTTTAGTTTTTACACGTCAGCCAGCTAAAATAATCACATTGTCTTAACAACAGGTTTACTAACATAAAACGTTTCGTAGAAACGGTGTCTGAATGCATAAGTGAAACAACATCCTTCAGCTCGTCTATCACAAACATCGAACATTTGAAACGGAACAAAACAGCAGAAGCAACAACTTGTGATTTAATCATACTCGACACAATGTAACCAATGCAGCTGAGATAGCATGGTTAAATAATCCAAGAAAAGAACAACATGAAACAACGTTAAATAAGTAAGGAACACACTAACGTGTATTCTGCTCCTTAATCATCCACTGCCTTTTTTTGCATCATCCAAAGCAGATGATTACTAGTAACACTTTCCTTCCTTTAATATATATAAATATTATGTTTATTATAATGCATGCTACATTATTTACACTGTATACGTAGTACAGGCGTATTTATATTAAATACCAGTCTCTTTAATTCATTCCACAGTATTATTTTATATACGGAACTCTTAACCCCCTGAAGCCCAGTGGTCCCTACATATACCACCTGCTTTAACAATAAGTAGTTCTGCATTTTGTATTATTTTATGGATTTTGTATATTTCTCGTCAAACAGGAATTAGTTCATGAGATGATAAAGTTGCGTCATATTTTGATAAATATATATTTGTTTAAATCTTGTCAGTCTAATCACAATAAAATTCCTATTAAATATTAAAATATTACTAAAATTAACATTTAAATATTTAAAATGATGTTCTCTATCGAAATGTTCGATTTACATTAGATCATCACTTTTTACACGACATGTTTCAGTTCTAAAAGAACCATCTTCAGGTGTATAAAATTATATAAACTTAAATATAATTTCTTAAATGCAACTTTTAGTCAGATGTTTAAGAAATTATATTTAAGTTTATATAATTTTATTCACCTGAAGATGGTTCTTTTAGAACTGAAACATGTCGTGTAAAAAGGGATGTTCTAATGTAAATCGATAGGAATTAGTTCCTTAAACAGCGTTAACCAAATGATTTTATAACGAAAAGTGTCGCTTTCTTTGAGGTACGGACTGAATTCATAATACCTTATACTAGTAAAGTGTGTGTTAATGCAGGTTAAAGCAACAAATAGACGATTCACGTATTCTCGTATGTTGTTAGGTGTATTCAGTTGCACAGGCCAACGATCTGGTAAGGCGTACAGCCATCCACACAACATTCTACTATCAGATTGTGTACTGCTTGAAGATTCCTTCTCTGCGGCTGCTTGGAATCATCCAAAGACACAACGCCCTCCATCCAGTGAGGTGGTACGCCCAGAACTTTTCCTACAAACAACCAACCAACCAACCAATCAATCGTTACCTAGTACGCCTTGTATTAGAAAGATCCTGGGTTCGAGCTCAAACATAAAAGAGAAAGTATCACGAAAACCAGTTACTTGTTGTACAGCCAATTTCAGAGACGTCGTGTTTATAAAATATTCATAATGGTACAGTATCGAATGGACAGTGCGATGGAGGTGATGTTTCAATATACAATTAGGGGTTTAGAGCCTGCTTATGTGCACGACGGTACTGAGTTGTTTTGGTTTAAATTATCGCAAAATTTAAATTAGCAGGCCCCAACAATTTTTTTAGAAATTGCAGTTATGTGGGCTGTTGGTATTGTCAATTGAAAGCGTTGAAAATGTTCCAAAATTAACTAAAAATAAAATTAACTGAAGAAGAAAATAAGTTTTTCTCCACGTTTCTCAGAAAAACCATTCAGAAGAAGGACTTAATAGTTTTATAGCAAAGATTAGAAATTCGGGATTACACTGTTAGCCAGAATATGTCAGCAAAACATATATTTTCATCTTGTGATCAATTTTTAAGTTTATCCTGTAAGTGAATGTGATAGTCAGGAGAAGAAACGAGAATCATAACTGTCACAATATTGAACGAAAATAGTGTAAGAAATTGGCGACAAAAGGACGGAAAATATATCTCATTTTATAGGCTATTTTACAGATTTCTACTTCTTAATAAACATAAACGGTCCACAACTGACTTTTTAATATTCATGTAAAATATCGTTAATAGGCGAGATTAGGAACCTACCGAGCAGCGCAGGCGACACGGTATGTTGGGCTGCTTTGCGAGGGGGGTGTATATTCCAATTGAAATCTGCAAGAAATGCGTTCCTTTTGCCCTTGGGTTCGGCACACGAATCAAGAATCAGTTGACGCATTTTCTTGCTACAATTCTCGTAATCGGAACTTCTTACACCTTCTTGCAATACAACTGCTGACGTCACCACAGCAATAACCTGAAGTAATGGAAAACACACGTATCACTATTCATACACTTAGGGGGAGGGGGGAGATCCTCATCCCCTTCTGATTACCAATCGTTATCATCCTTACTGTAATCATCAAAGAAAGTGTCATAAATCACAAGACATCAGGTTCACGAGAAATATGGGTGCCTGTCTATAATTCAAAACGATTTATCGATATTATTGCAACTTTACCAACAATCGAAATGTTTTGTTAGGTTTATTTGTCTTTTATTAAGAAGATTGAGATTGTTGGATGTTTTATACCGCACTTTATACCTATAAGATGTTAATTCGCCTGGCAGTCGCAAACATTTAAATTGTTAAGGTAGATCGAGAATGAGTCACACTACGTGAGAGCAGGAAGTACCTTTTTATCTCAGAGAGTCGAAGGGCTTCAAGGACTCGACATTGGACTACACTAACCAATTTAAGTGTTTTAAAAATTCTTATTTAGCCGCATACAAAGAAATGCTAATATAAATTTGAAGTCATGTTAAAGTATAATTTTTAACGTTTCATTTTGATCCTTACGTATTTATTATTGATCATCTTCTTATCTAATTTGGCACTATACAATTAACTTATAACATTTGCAGTTGAAAGAGATTCCTAAAATAACACAAGAATCAATTGGTCATATGAATGAAGATAAAATATAACAATGACAGAGTAAACGTGCTTCAGAAGATGATTGAAGTGAAGGAGATCAACGCATTTCGTAGAGATATTCAATTTAAATAATCGAGATTACATGTTTTATCATGAGATGAAGAAATATTCATATTTGCACAGCGGCATTTAAATCCTTGCGGACTAAACTTCGAGAAAACTGGATTTCAAGTAGAGTGCGCTCAAAAGGAAATTTAATTCATAGAGAAAACGTTCCCTTTCTTTTCCGTACATCTTTAGTGCACGCCTACTCAGGACCTGTATTTCACGAACAGATGACGTAAGGGCTTTGGCCACTAAGAAGCCCGTACCTTAGTCAACAGAATTAATTTTTATGTTATTTAAAAGAACGCTGTATATTAAAATCTCCCTCATACAATGCAGACGCCGTGTCAACGTATCTATTACAACGAATGTTCCGTAACGTGATTCGACATGTACATTTATGCGAGAAATATGATGGACAGTTTCTCTAATGTCGGTTTCTTATTTGGCTTGCATTCCTTTTAAGTACACTAGAAACTTTAGGTACCACACTTAGTAAAGTCGAAAAATTCGTGACAATGTCTAGTTCTCTGTACTTTAGGAAATTCTGCATTACTTAGATCCTAAATAATACTCTAGAAATATCTGAAAACATGCCTTTAATTACGCAAGGGCCATTTCTACACCTTTTTGGCCAGTTTCATTCTATGTTTTGTGTTAAACATTCAACTTACCAATGCCATAAAACTCTTCATTGTTTTCAGGAAGATGTAACCGAGAAGAGTCAAATACTGGTTATTCTGCGGGTTACTGGAATTAGTATAAGGATGGAAACTAGTGGAGAGAAACAGGTTTTTTTTGGTCCGACTATGACAGCTGTAGCTCAGGGCTGCGAGATGACTTCTGAATATCTTTGAGTACGTCCCACTTTTAAACGAAAGATCCGGAATGCCATCAGTTACACGTGTGCTCCAAGCATTGTTTAGCGTCACCATTATCGCACAAACAGGAATGTGCAAAATCTGCCCTATTATTTTTATTGTTAAGCTGTTAATGTGTTGCATTACTCATTCAGAAGCGGCTAGTGACTAGGAGACAAAATTATAATTGCACATACTATTTAAAATGACAAGAATACGAAAACATCTATTAATTCCTTTTTTACATTTCACAAGGACTGTATGCGAAATTTCTAATGGAAAATGATTTGATTTAAAAACAAAATTCCATAAGCGCCAAGCACACATATTTCTGTCGTTTATTCAGTTAATGAATCAAAAACCTCAAATTATAGTTTGATAAATATCTCAATCTGTGTTAACTTCACAGGCTCAATGTTTGAAACAATATATAGAATTTTAATGAGTTTCTTATGATTCTCAGAATATACAGCCATTACTTCCCTAATTTATATTTGTAATGGGGAAAAGTTGTGTTTTCTTTAATGCAAAAGCTGAGATACTTAACTCTTAGATGTCGGAACTAACCAACCGCCTATCGAAAAGCATCGTGTAGGTACGCAGAAACCTCAACAAAATAATAATTGCAAACCAGACACAGATTGCAAAATGTTAGGCATAATAATTAAGACAGTTAATTTGATTATTTTTACATAACAATTTAGCAAAAAAGAACAAAGAAAAAACTACAGAACGAAGAAAGAATACAGTAACAAAGCAGAAAGAAACATGAAATATAATAGAATCCACAGAATGTCCTTAATATTTAAAGATGGACGAATTGACGGAGAAAAAATCATGAAGGAAATCCCGTTTGCTGGAACGTGTTCTGCATCAGAAGACAGCACAGCGCGTGCCAGTGGTATCTCGCGTACCTGCTTCTGCACTGACTCTGGTTTGAGCATGTATTACAGATACTGCCTTACGTCATCAACACGATCATAGCTAAATTAAGACACAGGAATGACCAGGTGGATGTCGAAGAGAATGGCTTCTTATATTCGAGAAAAGAAAATACGTCTTTTCGGGTCTCACACTAAAGCATCTAGGCATATTTATCACCGACTCTGTTTGTTAAAGCAATAGTTTATACTTCACTCAAAACTGTTTCACAAACAATGGTGACTGCAATGCTAACACTGCAGATCGTGGGGGAAGAGGGTGATAAGAATGGCGAGTCCGGGGAAGAACAGGCCTCGGTCCACCCGTACTTTAGTTAGACCTTGCCATTAATACATCACAACCTGAACAATGAACACCTCACTCACGTACGTAGGTACCCCACGACACAACACATTTTTAAATTTCTGAAAACGGAGTGCGTCTTACATTTGATGGCGTCTGGGAATCGTTATGTTTCTTTTCATGAAAACCTTTTTCTAAATCAACGATTTGCCTTACAGTCGAGGAAATATGGTATTTAATACGTGGAAACCTGATTTGTGAAACGCCGTTATTTGTACAATCTGTGCAACGAAAATAACATGCAAAGTCCCAAGCCGTGCAGGTGTACATTTTTAATCATAATTCCAGTCATTTCACAATCTCCTTGTCTCTTTTTATTTGTCTGTATGCTGAATTTCTCTAATTTCCATTAATTACAGTTCTTTATTTCAGATGTACAGAGTGGCCATAAAGTCTGGAAACTTGAGTGAATATACATAACAAATGCTTTACTGATATTACATTACAATATATGATATGTTCAATGTGTTGTCCCTGATTAGCAATGCATAATTCAATGCGCTGTGCAAAATTACAATAAATGCGGTGCATTAATGCAGCATTTCCATCAATCTATACACATGCATTGCCTCAGATGATTTGTGTCCTTGATTTTAATTGAATAAACCTGTGCCTTTGGCATACCTCAGAAGAAGTAATCAAGGGGGTTCAGATCTGGCAAGCATGTAGCCCACATCGTCCAATCCAGTTTTGGAAATTATCATCCAACCAGCTTCTCATCACTCTGGCGTAATGGGGTGTTTATATATGTTTCCAGACTTTATGCCACCCTGTATATTAAGCAGCCACCAATATGTCTGCCTAATTTGAAGAAAAACATGGCAAAACTGCGGAGTATTGTGGCTGTCATTTTAAGAATGAGTAATCGAGGCTGAACGTCTTCAGGGTCTGAGGAAAATCACTGTTGATCATGCATATTAAAAAACTTGGTGGAAAAATTAGCAACATTTATATCAACCGAGAGACGAAACTATAACTTTACCTTGTGCACAATCTCCACTACCACGGATTTCCAGTGTCTATAAATTACGAAATAAAATCTCATGATTTCGCACCACTTCCACGTTCATAAATTCACAACACACACAAAAAAAGTATTTTAAATACAATTGGTATGTTTCTTCATAGTCACTACAGAACTAAATTCCACAAATCCTCAACAGAAGCGCATATAGTGGACAAGTCGGCTGAAACGAAGCTAATGTGTGTACCACAGGGCGTCCCACAGACACATACACAATGCCGATGCACGCGATGATTGTGTGTAGACATCTTTTTGGGACACACCATATTATGGACTGAAAGTAACTTACTGACAACTTAGTTTCTTACTTAGCATCGACCAATAAAAGAACAGCAACACAGAGGGGCCAGAACTTTATTCATACAACTGATTAGAAGTTATACACGTATACATGTAAAAATTACACAAATGCCTTATTCTATATCAGGAACAGAATAAAAATAGTAATGTAGATAAAGAACGAGCTACTTTTACTCCGGCTAATCATGAAGGAAGTCACGTATATTTCTCTTTACTGTACTTTAAGAACTTACGCTCCACTAGTTCTCTGTGGGCCCTTTTGAGTCATATTAATTTTGTCTCCAAGGCTCAATGCCATACCCTGAAAATAAATGCAAAATTATTTCAGATTAAAAAACATATCCTGGAAATTAAATAAACCGCTGCTCCATATTCATTCATGTATCATCTAGACCAGTGGCCCGCCAAGGCTTTTTTTGGGTGCCCACGTTGTTACGGAAAGAGGTTATACTAAATAATGAAGGCCGTTCAACCACGAACATTATAAAATCAAAGCACAGATCTCGACTTACTGATGCCCATTTTGACTGTTGTTTGCGAGCAGCAACATCATCCTACACTCCCAAATTTGAAAAACTGGCCCATGAAATGCAGTTCCAAACATCACACTAAGTTTCCACTTGAGTAATAATAATTGTACTTATAAAAGTACGTATTTTTGATTGCGTGGTTTCTTGTATCATTAAACGTCATGTTGTTTTGCGTATTATTTGGTGTCCATATCTTATTTGTCCAGAGAAAAGAAAATTTGGCTTTGTTAATTGGTTGGTGCCCGCCATGATCTCAAAAACTCTCAAATGTGCCCGTAGGCACGAAAAGGTTGGGGACCACTGATCTAGACAATAAACTCATTAGCAGCTGTAGTTTCACAGACAAATAGTCTCCCCTTTGAGACAATAACAAAACGACCGACCATCTACTCAACCACAAAATACAGTCTAATTCAACGCATCCATTACTCACCTGACTTTTAGCCCTAATACGAATATGACCTGTAACAGGTGCGTCTGGCTTGTTGAAAGGCTTTTCTATGCTCAGGTTTGCAAGAGCATCTTCACCAAAGATAGAACGTGCATACATGTTGGCAGCCATGAAGCCGCACTGACCGGAGAGAGCCTGTATAGAATTACATTAATTAAATATTACATTACAAAGCACATACTTAGCAGAACAGTTTTCAACTTCATCAGAAGAAATTTCTTGTTACCTTTTCTGGAGTCAAGCATTTCATATTTGTGCTGCTTATCAAATGATGAAGATACTCATGAAGATCTGTCAAATTTGTATTGACAGAAACCTATTTCAGAAAAGAAAAATATAGAATCAAGTGCTCGTTATTACCATACTATCCATTACAATTTACACATTTCCATACCTCATTACAATCAGTTTTAATAACATCTTATTCTGTATATTCTAAATTAAAAAATATTCTATAAATATAAAGAATAACTATATATGAGTTACAGAACCATTTTCCCAAAGTTCGACAAGTAAAGGAAACTTTACTATAACAAAAGAACAACAGTACCTGCAAATTATAGAAATTCATTAGTGTCAGATTCTCATTAACAAACCCACTATTTATGTTAGAGACTCAATTAAACAAAGAAGTGGCCAAACTCAATGACGTACATCACAAAACAAAATTCAGAAAGGTCTGAGAGCCGTATGCCTAATGTTGGGTTCTGCGTTAAATTTAAAGATAAAATTTATTTATGCTCATTCTAACTTCCATAATTAACTCAGTACAACAACGTATAAAGCATGCAATAAGCAATACGATAAGGAATAATTCGTACAAATTAGAATAAAGAGTGTAAATATTGCATCAATTACATTGAGGATATGAAAATATTCAGAATTTTTACCTCAAATTTGATATTTGCACTAAAAATGCTTTCAAACTACAAATTACTGTTTCAATTAATTTAAACACATACAGTACTAAAATTTGTAGCATTCTCCTAATTCAACATAATAAACTGCATAACAAATTATTCATTTTTGTATAAAATGAAAAAAATTAGAGGATTAAAAGAGTGTGTTACAAATTTTTTCAATATCATTTTCATAATCAACATACATTATTTACTTTAAAAAAAACTATTATTCTGCCCATACTATTAACAAAGTGTCCCCAGTGTACTTAATCTAAACAAAAATAATTTTTACCTGCGTTTATTTTAACTCTTCCCACACTCATTACTCTAGAGACATAAAACAGCTTATAAGCTGTAAATGTTCACACCTTCTCATTCTAACTTACCTTATTTTCCCACTCAAACTCAGCCCACATCTGTCTGAACTCCGTGTCATTGCATGACGCAGGAACGATATAGTCCATGATATCAATGTGAATATCATTGAGAACCACGACACTGCGATCTGACGCAGCACCGCTCACATCGTACACTGCAAAAATACACAAAGTACAGTATTCCAACATCCACTGAGTGAACAGCAAACGGGAAAAGATAAAGTGAAATGGCACTGTCCCCCAAACGTGGGTTTAGTAGTAAGGCTGTTCTCCTTAAACGAAGGAGTCAATTACGGACTATGACGTGGAACACATAAAACACATGCAGTCATAATATGTTCTAAGAATGCATATCAAAACCTTACAAATGAAAAATACACGTGATAGGCAGACCTGATCAGAAAAGAGATGTAACAAAAAACAACAACAGAATTTTAATCTACAAAGCACTCACCAATATTGCCAAAGATGATACCATTTTCTGTAGAGGCAACCTTCACATTGGCTTTGATATTGCAGAAGTCACGAGGAGCCAAGACAACAGGCTGTGGTTTCTCTACCAGCTTCAAATCTCCCAATGTAGCAAGCTCAAGAGTGCAATTTTGCAACGTGTCACCTTGATTATGAAAACATTATTCAGATAACAGTACATTACAAAATATAAAGTCCATACTAAACGACATGAATTAAAAGAATAAATAAATAATGAAATAAAGACAACGCAAATACATAATACAGTGCAAAAAGTTAGGTTAGAATAATAAACTCAACAACCTAAACACACACAATCCTGTGGAGGAAAAGTGTTAATGTTTGTACACATTCTGTCCAACACGTTTGTGGTATACAACTTAGCAATTCTCCTGATATTCATTCCTTGAACCAATCATTAAATAAACTAAAAATTGTAGAAGTAAGTAAAGCTGTTCCACTATATGCCATGTAGGCGCTTGGAGGGAGTGGAGGTATAGCTCCTACCCATTTTTGACCTTGGCACTAGATGGGGGTGAGCGGTCAGCATCACACCCCAGCCACGCTTTACCCCCAGGAAAGGCCCCCGGTTCCCGTTGGACAGGAGTCTGGGTGGCTAAGGCATATTTAAAACTGACAAAAACAAATATTATGAATGTGAATTTAAAAATATAACAACAGTTCACAGGTTCCTGAAATGTATATTAAAAGTTCCATCCCTTAACTACAGTAGACCTCCATTTCAAAAATTTAAAAAATATGTTATTTGGTAATATGTACAGAGGATAAGGATTCACAAGGTTACCAAGGAAAAAAAAAACACTTCAAACTTTTTAACAACTTTTGAAGGATGCACATTTTTATGCATTCAGATAAAACTTCACACCCATTTTTCATAATCTTAACTTAGTAATACATTAGAAAGTCTGATCTTAATTTCTGTACCTGTTTGGTTTACAATGAGAACATCCAGAACAATATCATACTGGTTGACGTGAACATAAGCTTCAGCATAGACTGGATCTGAAAAGCCAGTGAGTTGAGTGACTTTGTTCAACTTGCTCAATCCTGGTGTTGACTCTCCACCACTTCCAAGACCTGAACCAATTCCATCTCGACGACCACCCACCAGTGCCTGATTAAGACTCAACTCAAACACATTCTCGGTGCCACCCAGATCACCTGCACGAGATGAGGACAGCTGTAGGAAGGAGATGGGATCGTCTGCGTGTACCACCGACCCAGGTTTCTCTTTAGCCTGAATAAAGACGAGGAAAAAAAATCAACGTTACTGCAAAGCACTTGCAAACAAACAAAAATTGCAAAATTCACATAGCCAATTAAAAATTTCACCTGATTCCAACACATTCCCATTATATCAAACACACACCCATATGCCAATAGAACACTTTCCCAGATATTACTATTTATTGAATTAATGTATTATTTCTATCACCATATTTTATTTATTTAGGTACTTAATTTTACCAGTAGGACATGTGAGCAAACATCCTTTTATTAAAAAATAACATTAAATTCAGAAACAGTTGAATGTCTGCAAGTTTCCAGCTAACAGGTTTCCATTATGTGACAATAATAGGCGTCGAGAACTACATGTTGAAAAAATGTGGGTCATGACAATAGTTAGCCAGCTGTAGAAAAAAGTTATTTTGAGGTCAGCATGGCTGAATATACCTTAACAGCACTGCCCTGACAAGTTATAATACTAGTAATTTGTGCATAACACAGTCATAAATATTACTCCATTATTACAGAAGACACATTGTGTATTAGAAGCACAGTACATACTTTCTGTGTAGAAGCCTCCTCCTCTGCCTTGGCAGCAAGCATGACGGACAGAGCACGACGACAATTCTCATGAAAGATATTCACAATGACAGGGGATTTATCAGACAGCACCCGAAGGCACAGATACAAGCGATCAGCATCATCATTTGTCATATTCTTCACTGCTAAACCTGTATAATTACACAAATTTAGAACTTCAAAGTCATAAAAAAATTTCATAATAGAGAGTAATTCAGATTCCAAAGCATAATCACAGACCTGCATTTCTTCACCTTTTATATTCTTCATATCCTTGTGCAGTGTAATTTATCTGCGATACAAATTCAGTCCAACTTTTAGATCAGACCTCATATATGGGAAATTTGAACAAAAAGAACACTGTTCATATGGCATATTAGATAAGAAGATTTCTGTCTTCTGGGTTGTTGCGCTGTGTAGTCTGGTCGATGTTAACCAACGTTTCAGAGGTCATACTGCCTCCGTCATCAGGGCGATGAATATG